ATAAGGATGGAGAACATAGAGTTCATTCTCAAGTTCTCCATATGCGAGGAATTTGTTATTTCTTTTGATAGTAATCACATTACTAAAGATAACAGAATAACCATCCGCACACAATTTTGAAACAGAAATTAAATTTCTTCTCAAATTTGGTAATAAAGACAATCTTTTAATGTAATTATTCCTTCTCTGAAATATAATTCTACAGTTCCTATGGCTGTAGCTGCAACACTTGCAGAAGTCCCCAAGTAAATAATCACTTCACCGTCACTCAGTCTTCTACTTGTCCCAAACCCCTGCAATGTGTTACATGCATGAGTAGAAGCCCCGAAGTCAATACACCAGGAAGTAGAAGTCACCAACATATTGGTTTCTACGACAAATGATTCGAAATTACCTTATTTCTTGGTCTCCAAGTACTAAGGACAGTTCCTCTTCTAGTGGCCGGCCTGTTTGCAGAAGTGACAAGCATCAGATGCCTTGTCCTTCCTCTGCTTTTTAGGCTTGCTAGTTTTCTTCTAAAGTTTTTTCTTTGCCTTCCTCTTCTTCTTGCCTGGTTTTCCACCTTCAACAAGCATGGCAATGGGTTTATCCTTCTTTATTTTCCACCGGACAAAAGAGTTTTTCTCTTCCTATTCTTGATATTCCCTCCTGCAGGCCTCAGAAGCCCTATCACCCGGACGATCCGGAGTAGGGTTCTTAGCAACCTTGTCCAATTTCTCAAACGTCAGGACCAGCATAAGGTTACGATACTAGTCAGCGTAATTTGGGCCCTTAAACTTATTGTTGTCCAACAGTTTGCCAAATTTTCTGTTTGCCATTTCTGATAAAAGGCAAAGCATATATTAATCCACAACCTGATTTGATTCATGTTATCTACATAGATATGGCTTTTAATATATGTTCCATTTCCATTTATTCATCTCTGAAATTTCCCTCCTATCTCAGTGATGGAGACTATGATCTGTCTTTGGAAATGTGGGAAACCACATAGGGTGCATGGAGCCAATTGTTTCAGCTGCATAACCCCACCACCTTTTGTGAATGATCACATCCACTCATCTCATGAGTTTTTCCTTTGGCCTCTGTCAGACAAGGTTCAGAGCCATTTTCAGGTAAACCTTTTTGTCCAGTGAATGCTTACCCATCATATTCGTGAACGCCAAGGTACCGTGAGAGAGTCTTCCATTTTAGGATAGGTCCCTCCCACATCGGTCTATGATGCCCCTATCATCATATGAAACAATCCAACAGATCCAACAACAAATGGATTGCCCAATTTTATGGTGCATTTCCTCATTACTAAATGACCCATCTTCATGTTAATGATGTAAGGCCTTTAGAGAGTTCATCATATGAATCTCCCTATCACATGCACTCATATTTCAGTGGAGGGAACGAAATATTACGCCCTAGTTTTATTTAGGTCAAAGCGAAGTGTCTCCACTGACTTTCTCAAAGCTAGATTTAAATGGGCCCTAAACGGCTAGGGTTCTGCACAGTTCCTCTTGGGGAGGAAACTGATATGGGGCCCACCAAATGGGGAGATTATCCAATGATCTTATGGACACCATGGCAATGATGTGCATTCAGCCATGGCATGCGTAAGAGCCACTATCAAAATGATCATGGGCCAAGTACTTATGGTCCATGTACGTAACACATCACACATCCATACATCACATGCATGAAATAAATTGATCCAATCAATTAAAATTTTTGTAAAATCCTTAATTAATTAGATTAAATCGGTATCAGCCCAACAGAGCCCATAATGTTATCATATAACATTATCTAGGTGCATGGGCTGTACTGCAAAAAGCAGTTCGGCCCATGTAGCTAAATTAGGGCTGATTCAGTTTTATCATATTAAATTTAGGTTTTACAGAGGTGGGCCGAATTAAAACTTGAAGTGGGCCATCAGCTCTCTGGCCTAAATCGAATTAGGGTTAGAGTCCTTCCATACTTGAGATTTCAAATGATCCATTTCTTCCCAAATAGACTATAGAGAAGAGAAATACATAGCAACAGATCCCTCCCCTTGATGCATACTGCAAGCTTCCCTTCGAAGCTGATACACTCTAGTAGTATTGTTAACTTGGGAATAAGTAGCAACTACCCTATCCCAGATAGCCTTGGTAGATGGAAGAAACATGTAATTTTGGTCAATATGAGATTGCATTGAGCAAATTAGCCATGACATAACAAGGGAGTTGCCATGCTCCCACCATGCAAATTTTGGGTCTTCAGGACTCGGCTTCATTAACTTTCTTCTGATGAATCACATTTTACCCCTCCTAGTAATGGTAAGTTTAGCAGACTGAGACCACTCTAAAAAATTAGTTCATCCAATTTAACAGTATTTATCATACCACTAGAAATATCTATAGTTCTCGGGAGCACACTGGGAACCATCTGAAAATCCTTAGATGATTCCGTATTCTAACAAGACACCTTCTCACCAACCAAAAAGGACCCCTGACACTTTAACCGAGGTTCTAGACCCAAAAACTAGGTTACAGCATGGTTAAGAACCAAATGAAGACCCAAAAAACTAGGTTGGCGGCAAAATAGAGGGAGAAAAAAACACCCAAAAATCACATTGCCCAGAAAATTACGGGACCACTTCCCATCAATCCCAAATTGAAAAACGACCTGAACGGTCAACGTTTTACAGCAAAAAAAATATCATTAAACCTGTTGTACATGGTTCGACATCCGATCTGGAATTTCTACGATTTTTTCTTTGAAAAATCCACCAAAAATCACAGAATCTTCATATGATGAAAAGAGTTATACCAGAATTTTTCTAAAATCAGGGCGAATTATGTTGTGTTGGTTTCATAGACTACTATTGGCACCTGTACGGACTGCTAACGTCATCCGGTGGCGGTCTGGCGTCAACAGTTCACCTCTAGGTAGGAGATCAATAGAGAACAACTCCTAGATACATCTACCTGCTCTAGGGGTGGACACGAGTCGAGTTTTTCATGAGCCATTCGAGCTCGGCTCAAATCGAGCTTCAAGCTGAATTCAAGCTTTATATTATATTCATATAGTAATCAAGCTGAGCCTGAGCATTCTGAAGTTTGGTTTATTAGGCTCGCAAGCCTAACAAGCATAATTATATAATATATATATATATACCTTTTCAAGAAATTTTATTTGTGATACTATTTTATAGTGATAGTCCCTTATACACGGTGCAATTTCAGAAATCAAAAACCCTTCAACCTAACCTAACGCTTCGAAAGTTCAGTCTCCTCTCCTCTCTGTCCTCTGCTCTCTCGTCTCTCCTCTCCGAATCTCCTCTCAACTCTCAACTCTCAAGCTCACAAGCGGTTAGGCTTCAGTCTCTCACTAGTCACCACCACTACAGCTCCGCCTCTCGTCTCTCCTCTACTCTCCTCTCAAGCTCTCCTCTCTCATCTCTCTTCTCCACTCAGCTCTTAACTATCAAGCTCACAGTCACTCCAGAGACTCTAGACTCGCAAGTCGTAGCCGTAGACCGTAGGTCGCAAACTCTCAGCCGCAAGCCACAACCTCTCCAGCCTTTCGCAGTCCAGCCTCTCACCGTCTCACGCACACTCACAAACTCATAGTCAATCGGTCACGAATCACAACTCACTATGGACGTCGGAGGCGAGACAAAGACATGGACAGATCTAGGTTTTCTTTCATCTTCTTTTCATTATGTTCTAGGTTTGGGTTTTTTTAGCTTTCTTAGTCTTAGTTTTTATAGTTTATTGGGATTTCAAATTAGCAAATGTTCACATTTTAGTTTCTGTTCTGGGTGTGAAGTAATTTGATCCTGAAACAAAACCCTACTGGGTTTAGGATGCCATATCTTGAATAGTTTGCTTGAAATGGAGAAAACTGTGTTTCAGAGCTCAAATTCGAGCTCAAGCTGAATCGAGCTCGAACACATACATCCTATAATCGAGCCAAACTCAAGGTTCAATTTCTAATTCGAATCGAGCTCAAGCCTGAGCTCAAGCCTTACATTTTTCTACCGAACCGAGCTTAAATACTATTATTCGGCTCGGCTCAACTCGGCTAGGCTCGTGTCCACCCCTAACCCTCTCTGATACCAAGTTGCAGAAATTAGGGTTTCAAGAGAGGAAGAAGAGAAGAGGAGAAGAAGAAGAGGAAGAAGAGAGCAAGTGTCGAGAGGTGTGAGTTATTCACTGTTCACACCCTCAAAAGATTACTTTATAATTTGAGAAAATAATAATTACAAGAAGGCCCCTATCTAGGAGCCCAAATACTAAGAGCATAAGAAAGGAGAAAAAGACCAAAAACACCCATGTCTAACTATTCTCAACAAAATTTTTAATTTTTTTGATATTTTTAAAAATTAAAGCAAAATCAGATTAAATCTAAATCCAATCCAAGTCTGTTGGGATTCAAATTCAAATTCAAGATCTTCAAATCTGATCGGATTCAAATGCAAGTTTTCAGTAGTCAGATCGATACGGATTTCGTTGAATCCGATCAAAGTCAATCCAATTACAGCCCTAGGGGAGTAGCACATTCTCCCCACAAGTCTCAAGAACTCATAAAAACCAAAATCCAAAGAAGCTTACAAAGATTTAGGTTAACAGAGCCTTGAAATGAAGAATCAGCTTCCTTTGCAATATCCATACTTTGAATCATGCCTATTGCAACTCTTCCATTTCCCAACTAGTATATCTAATAATTCTTGATTCACATAAACTAATAAAATTTGTGTTCCTTGTGTGATTATACATTCTTTATAAACATTCTTTTGGCACCTTATTTATAATTATTTAAGCCTAAAATTAGTTTTATAGATGCATTTGTGGGCTTTATACGAGTCCCAATTTATTCTTAAGCGTCTTAATTATTCCATTGTACCCATGCATTTTTTCAAGCATAACCAGCAACGTATCATAAAAAATTGCCTTTCCGAAATTGTGATACCAATACCTTGATTCTTAGTTGCCTAACAATAAAGGGTATTTTGTCTCTAATAAAAGGTATTCATCATTGCAACAGTGAATCCGTTTAACTACATGTTCTCCGCGCATACAAAATTATAGTTACCAAATTCAGACACCCACAACTTAGTGATTAATACAAGCTAAATTGTGCACCTAGTTTAGTTTGGCCTATTGTAACCATACAAATTCATCCCAATTGTGAACCAGGTAAAGTATTGGCCATATAAGCATTCAGATTGAATCTTCATTAGTTTGCACTTAGTTTTGCCCTTGGCATGGTCATGTGGCACATTCAATGGAGAAAATGCATTGCCCAAACTTCATCCCGATCAGATAATTTTGACTATAGGCATCTTGTTGTAGAAAGGGAACAAATTATTTTCCTTGCTCCCATCCACCTAATCTCTCCCCTGGGTCATAGTTAATGAAGAGACGGAATTCATTTCCAAGCTTGCTAGAGTGCTGAGGCCTAAAGCCACATGGATACAAGTTTAAAAGCTCAGCAGCACTCTCCTTCTGTACCTCCCCTATAAAGAATCACAATACAACCTGTTAGAATGAACCATATATAAAACCTACAGATGGGAGCAATGAAAATAATAAGTTTGATAATGCAGAAGAATTAGACAATTATCATGACCTATTCTTTATTTTTCTTATTTGACTCAGAAATCTCATGGATGAAATGACAGAAGGGTTAGACAACCATAGAAGTATCAAATACATGTTGTATGTGCGTTGATAGTAGAACAATCAACAAGATTACTATCAAGTATAGATTCCCAATTTCTAGGCTTGGTGACATGCTTGATATGATGACTGGAGCGACCATTTTTTTCTAAGATTGATCTAAGGAGTGACTATCATCAAATACGAGTTAGGCCTGATGATGAGTGGAAGACAGCATTTAAGGCAAAAGATGGCTCATATGAATGGTTAGTTATGCCATTTAGATTAATCAATGCCCCTAGTACTTTCATGAGGATGATGAGCCAGGTACTCCAATCCTTCATTGGTCATTTCCTAGTTTATTTTGATGAGATTCTTAATTTCTTATATATATAATCATAGTTTAGAAGAGTATATTGGTCATCTACGTCAAGTGATGAGAGCTATACACCAAGAGAAACTCTACATCAACTTAAAGAAATGCGCTTTCATGGCACTCAAAGTTATATGCTTGGGTTTGTTGTTTCTGCTAAAGGCATTAGTGTTGATCCAAAGAAAAGTATAGGTTATCTCAGAATGGTCCCTCCCTATCAATCTTGAAGAGATTAGAAGCATTCATGGCCTAGCAACTTTTATAGGAGATTTATTAAGGGGTTCAACACTATCATTGCTCCAATTACTGATGCAATGAAATGAGGTGAGTTTAATAGGACCAAGACAGCAACAAAAGTGTTTGAGACTATAAAGAAGAAAATGATAGAGGCACCTATTTTACGACTTCTAAACTTCTCTAGTCTTTGAAGTGGCATGTGATGCATTTGGTGTAGGAATTGGTGGGATTCTCATGTAAGAAGGCCATCATCCCAATGCATTTCATAGTGAGAAACTAAATGAAGCCAAGCAAAAGTATTCAACTTACCGCAAGTATATAGCAGTGCAAACTCTATGACATTGGCAACACTACTTGATATTTAAGGAGTTTGTGCTCTATTTTGATCATGAAGCTTTAAAGTACTTGAATTCCAAAAAGAAATTAAACTGTAGGCATGGGAAGTGAATCTCATTCCTACAAGAATACACCTTTGTTCTTAAGAACCAAGCTGGAAATGAGAATAAAGTGGTAGATGCGCTAAGTCGGATGGCTTACATACTTCATTCCATGAATGTTTAAGACTTCAAGTCATTGGTTTTGATCAAATAAAGCAAGACTATGCTGGTTGCAAGGATTTCAGCATCATCTATACTGACTTATAAGATGTGAAGCAAGATGAGTATCCTTCCTTTTCACTACATAATGGTCATCTGTTTTATGATACCCGCTTATGTCTACAAAATACCTCTTTATAGGGCTTTGTTATTTGGGAGTTGCATGCTAGAGGTGTAGGAGGTCACTTTGGTAGAGATAAAACCACTGCTATGGTGGAAGATAGGTTTTATTAGCCTAGTATGAAGAACGATGTTGCTTGTATAATATAGCAATGCAAAAGATGCCATCTTGCCAAAGGACGAAAGTAGAACTGTGGCAAGATTTGTCCATGGATTTTGTCCTTGAATTGCCCAAGACTGCTAGGGATCATGATGCAATCTATGTTGTAGTGGATCATTTCTCCAAGATGGCATTTCTTACCTTGCAACAAAACACATGATGATTCACATATTGCTTCTATATTTTTCAAAGTGGTTCAACTTCATGGAGTGCCTTCTACTATTGTATCAGATCGGGACATCATTTCACCCCCAAACAGATGGTCAAACCGAGGTAGTGAATAGAAGCTTGGGAGATCTTTTACGGTGTCCAGTTGGTGATATACTTGTAGATGGGATCTAGTGCTTCCAATAGCTGAGTTTTATTATAACAACTCAATAAATAGATCCATAGGAAAAAGTCCATTAGAAGTGTTGACTGGTATTCAGCCTAAGTGGCCAATTGACTTGGTTACCTTACCACTAGATACACGTACTAGCATTGAAGCATAAGCATTTGTTAGGCAGATAAGAGAGATACATGATGATGTTAAGAGAAAAATTGCATGGAGCAATGATTTATACAAGGCTAGAGTTGATATTCATCGACTGTTAGCAAATTATCAAGAGGGAGACATGGTTATGGTACGTATACGACTAGAACATTTTCCTAAAGGTGTGTACAAGAAGCTCCACTCCAAGAGTGCAGGTCCTTACAAAATCATCAAGAACATAAGTTCTAACGCCTATGTTCTAGAGTTTCCAGATGACATGAGAATCAGTCCTATCTTCAAAGTTGAGGACTTGACTCTTTACCATGACATGTGGATTCTTTTAATACTCCTATACCTAAGTTCCAACTATTGCAGCTCCAAATGACATTCCAAAGTATGTTTTAGATGATGAAACAATATCTACTAATACAGGAGGGTATCAGAAATTCCTTGTCAGGTGGAAGGCAAGCTTATGTCTGAGTGTTCTTGGATCACTGCTAAAGACTTTCATCGTCTCAACCTAGATCTTTATGAAAGATACCATGCTTTTAATTAACTGGGGTCGAGTTCTTTCAAGCCAGGGAGAGATGATAGGAATTGATCAGTACCCTTGAAGACTTATTCTAGAAAGAAGAATGCCTTATAACAGGTCCTGATATGGCATAGTGATGATACTTTGGGTTTGGACTGAATTGGACACCAAGGGTATTTTTGTTATTTTATACTTTTTTGCAGGGTCCAATTATAGGGTTGATTGTCTATTTATAGTCTGTTTATGTTTAAAATTTCAGAGTCATTGCACAAATAGGATTAGAGTTATTGAGTCTAACAGTTTGACTCCTAGGACTATTATGAGTCTAATAGTTTTACTCCTAAGGTTATTATGAGTTTAGAATCTATATATATGTATGGATGTTTTACACAAAGAGTAATGAAGTTTATTGAGTTCTCTTCAGCTTATGCTAATTATGGGAGTGGTTGACATACCCTAGAGTGATTCTAAGCACCTCGTGAGTGATCCCAAGTATTTCCTCTCCTCTTTCTACTCGTATTTTCTTTCTTGTTCCTCCAAGAAGCCATTACAACCATCAACAGCCATAAATTTCTAATCAAAGAATAATATTCTACATTCCCTATGACTAGAATTGAGCTGGTCCTATATCAGATCCGCTCTGACCTTAGGGCTAAGTTTGAGAACACTAGCTTGTGGTCTGAGGATGAGGGTGGACTGATAATTGGGGATGGGTTTGAGAGCATTGAAGTTCTTTCATTTCAACCTATTGTTATTCAAGGGTGTCGATGTGGTCTACCTTCTGAAGGCTGGCTTGGGTTATGCCTAGTCGGTTTTCATTACCTCTGACACAATCAGTAAGCGTGTAAACTTTGCCAATGAGGATCTTGAGCTCACCACCATCCTTAAAGTCAAACTAAATCTCCGTTGTCTCATTCTTCAATGGGTCTTCGCCAAGGTTCTCGGGGATGGTGATCAAATTGATTCTTCTAGCAGCCATCTCCGTGATTAGGATTAAACCAAAGATTCTAATATAAGCAAGGTAAGGTAAGGCAACAGAGGGATCTACCTAAAAGATGGTAGATGGCTATGTGAAAGGAGAAAGGAGGGAGAGGAGTTGCAGAGAATTTGAGGACAAAGCTTACGCAAAGGTTCTGAAAGACAAAGGTGAGGGCCTTGAGCCTCCTCTATTTTGGATTCGAGTGAACTTTCCCAAACAAAAACATTTGTTATTCTGTTAGATCTAAAACAGGTAGGCTGAGTGGGGTTTCGCCACATGTCCATGTGGAGATCCGTATGGCACCAATGCAGCTACTTCCTCCTAGAAACATGTCTGATTGTGCCTTTGAAATTTCTTGGAAACACTTAACTGTTGGCATGAATGACATCGCAAAAAGAGTATCGGTGAGTTGTGTTGTCATGGTGTTGCAATGTGGAGCGAATGTCGAGTGCCATCACAACACAAGAGGTCACTGCGATGTTGTACTAAATTGCAGGGAAAAACTGTGGTGACAAGGTTCCTAAGTGTTGAGTTGGTCTGAGTTGTTTTTAATTTAGTTAGGAAGTTGTTGGGCTTTAGGCCCATTAGTTTATGTTTTTTTAAGTTGTGGCTGTTCAGCTATATTAGTAGCCGCCCTACTAAGGGCATCCTTGTAGTATCTCATCCTTTAAGTTAAGTAAAAATATAATGAGAAGTAGGCGGCTAGGGTTAATTTTTACAATCCTGGTTGACTTCCTAATCTTTTCTTCTCCTTTCTTCTCTACTGCTGAAATCTTCATCTTCATCTTCCCCCTCTTTCCTTTCACAAGAAACTCGACTAAATCTGCAATTAGTGATTTCTACTTGGTATCAGAGCGGGCCGAAGGTTCCTTGAAGTTGTTCTCTCATGCAGCCCTAGATTGGCCGATTGCATGGTGATTTAAGAGGTTGATCGGAGCTCTCAGGTAAGCCCAGGTTTTGGATTTTTTTGGTGGATCTGTGTGCCCTGTAGCTGGTCTAGGGTTTCTCATCAAAATCAGGAAAAACTAGAGAAAAAGAAAGAGTCTTGTTTCTGTTGGACTCTTCAATTTTGACCTAGGAAGTGGTGCCCTAATTTTTTAGGGTTCCTTGGAGTTTTTTGCAAGGGGAGATTCAAGTCCTGCCTGATTTGAAGGCTTCTAGAGAGAGCGGATGCCTCTTCTCTCTCTTCTCCCATCCCACAGAAAATGAATCTTATGTGGAAAGAAAGTCTAAGACACCAGAAAGGTGTTGTTGGTTCCAAAAAGTGTTTTGTTTGATCTTGTTGCAAATTTCAATTATTTTCTTTACATTTTTTGAGAAGCATGGAGTGCCATGGAGTTGAAAATAAGCTCGGGAGTGAAATGGGACCAGTAGGAGGAGGTGTTGGAG